CACAAAATAAATAAATAAGTGGTTCTATAAATAGTCATTCACCCAACTTAAAAAGGTTGAAAACATAAGATCGAAACTTTCACTATCAAAAGTGGAAATTACAATAGACCAGAGTTTTAAACTTCAAATTTCAAAATAAAGATTTACTAGTTTTCTTTTCAAAAATTAGATGATAAATGATATTTTAAATATTAATATTTATATCACAAAATATTTAATTCATCCCACCTAACATATACTCAACCACCCACACAAACCTTAAATTATTTTCATCTCTCATCTCCCTATCCCACCGGAAGTTGTCGTTGGAAGCCATTGCCAGAGAGCATAGTCGATTACATCGCTACACGATCGACTGTTGCTTTTGAGTGATCATATGTTGCTACTGTGCGTTCCTCCTCACTCCATCCTAAATCTATTTTTTTTTTTCGATTTTGGTGGCCAAAGGTTTTTTTTGTGCAGTTCGATTATGGTGTGATGTGGGTGTGGTGTTGCGTTGTGGTTGTGTTGTATTGTGTTTGTGTGGTGTGTAGTGTGTAGTGGCGGTGTGCGATGTGTGGTAGTGATGATGGTGTTGTGCGTTGGGGAGAGTGTTTGGTCCATTTATTTGGGTGGTCATGGTGGTGCGGCGATGGTGTTCTATGGTGTTGCGGGCGATGGTGTTCGACAGTGGTGGAGATGGTCTAGATGGTAGGTGCAAGCGATTGTGTTTGGCGGTGGTGGAGATGGTGGTTGTGGTGATCACGGTGGGTTTAGTGGTGTTTCGGTGGCGGTGGTGATGTTGATGATTTTGGTGTGGTGGTGGTGCAGTCGTTGTGGGTAGATAGTGGTGGTAGTGATAATGTTGGTTGTGGTGTTTGAGATGATGATTTTACTAATGGGAGATGGTGATTCTGATGGCGATTTTTTTTTTGGTAGCGTGCGACTAATGACAATGGTGAGGTGGTAGTCACAAGGGTTGGTAGTGGTCACAAATAATTTAATTGATGTGTGACCAATAAATAGTAAGTGAGTAAAGAAATAGATAAATTGTGACTAATAAATAATGTATGATCTAAAAATTTGTTAATATGTGACTAATGATTTGATAATTTGTGGCCTAAACATCATTTATGGTTAATTAATTTGATATTTTATGACTAATGAACAATATGTAACCTATTAGTTTGATAAATTTGTGACCTAAAAATTATTTGTAATCAATTAATTCAATAATTTGTGACCAAATTGTATAAAATTGTAACCTTATATTTAATTTATAAAATATACTTTTAATTAATTATTTCAGAAATCAAATTTAAAAAATATATGATTTTTGAAATTTTAATCATTTTATCTTAGTTTTGAAACGAGTTATAGATAAACTCTTAATTATGAATTTTCCCCCATCTAGAAACAGCATCAAAAAACAAAGAAAAATTGAGAACAACACTTCGGCCAATATAACGTTGGAACGTCCATCTTACTCCTTTTTCTCCAAACAATCTGCCTGCAAACACACCCAAAATTCTCGAAAGAAGGAAACTCTACTAAATTTGTACAGAAAACTTGAGTGTATTTTAGGTCAATATCTTATATAAATTTATTCTGTCTTTTTTTGTGAAACGATATGTGTATTATGAACTAATTTTTACAAACTTCTTCAAATTTTGATATTTGTAAAAATGAAAATGTAAATAATAGTATTTACGATTTTTTTCCCTTTTGTATTATTGATTTAACTACAGATAGGCTTGGAAAATGATTTTTGGAGAAATTAGGCCCACTACTTCAAAAAAAAT